AAATACTGTGTCTGATCCCAGTTTATTTTAGTCTTACATCTTTTTTCCTCTGCTGCCTTGTGTCTTCCACACTACACGATCGATAAATATTGCCCTTTCTTTCATCTCACTCTCATGTTTGTAACAACATCGAAACAAATTTTCATGACATATTTCAATAGTCTTTGAAAAACTTTTTTCATCTCCTTCATTAAATCAACCATACGTTATATAAACTGCGATCTCAATCTGTTCTTACATTCCACTAAATTTTTCTTTTCTACATTGTACCTCGTTAAACTTGCCACTGATAAATATTTTTTCTTTCACTTAATCGTTGGTTCCCTTAATCGAAACACTGCACTTCTCAATATTAAACGCATGCTTATTCGAAATTTTTCTTTTCCTTTGTAGTTTGATACTCTGCGACTGGAAATATTATTCCTGTATGGCTTATCATTTAGATAAACTCCTCATCTTAACAAAGCCTCGTTTTCTGTACGACGAATAAGTATTTCTTTATATTAGACTTCTTACATTATGAAGCAGCTCGAAAGAATCGTTTGTTTTTCTAACTATCGTTGATGAATTATTATTTATTTTTGTTTAGATTGAACCTGTTCCTGTCCATTCTTTCATCTTCAAATGGTTCATCATTGTATCAGATTGCTCCACTCGACGGCGTGTCGTTCATTCCACGATAAATGAGTCATTTTTTTCACTTCGCTTCTTTTCCATTCTGAGGCAGCCGAAGAAAATCTTTTGTTTTTTTTTCTACAACAATCGTTCACTGACTAAGTGTTTTGTTTAGGTGGACCCTGCGTGAATCAATAGTCTCATCTTCAAGTGGTTTTTAATTCATCAAATGACTTCCTTCCACATTGTTCCGTTCATCGTACAATGAGTAAGTATTTTTTGCATTTCACTTCTCTCTCATGTTGAGGTGACACGAGAAAATTGTTTATTAATTGTAAACTGCCGCTAAATAGTTGGTTTAACAAATATTATTAACATAAAATACATTCACAATCTGCTAGTTTAAATTGAAACATACATTTTATGATGTATAAAAGAATCGTGGCAAGTGGATATGTCACCAGTTACATTATACTCAAAAAAATGCATAAAAAATGTTGCTTTTTTTCTCAGTAAAATGATCTTTTTAGTTAGATATTATGAAATGCGCAATATTGATTTCAGAATTGGCATTAATTCACTAATATCTTCTGGTGATAATATTCGCACTATATTATTTCGCAGTTCTTCATGAATTGTTTGCCATGAAATGATATGAACAATGAGTTTACTAAATAACTTAATTGCTTTTTCATATCCATGCATTGTTTCCATGTATTTCCACAATAGTTCTGCGTAATAATTTTGTGCACGATATACAGACATTTTATCATTGAGTATTGGTTCATCATGATCATTAGCTATTGAAAAACCTTTTGTAAAAATAAGTATAATAACTGTTAATTGGATGATTTTTCGATCATATTTCGCTATATTTATAAATGAAATAAAGATCTTTTTGATTTGCATAAAAAGATTATAACCATGAAGTATTTGAAAGAATTGTGTATTCGCTGGTACATCAGAATCACTTTCAATAATTTGATTAGTTTCTGTATTGTATGAAAGTGCACAGTTTATACCAAAAACTGATATAAAATTATATTTAATTAAAGTAACTTTATCATCAACATTTAATTGATTAAATTCAGGTATTTGTTTGAAGAATGATAAAAGTCGCATGACTGATATTGAATCACTATTGAAAACTTGTAAAACAGTTCTTACATGTGTTGATGGATCCCATGGAAGACCATCACGAGTTGCTAACATACAAACAAAGTAAGATGAAAAGAAAAAAGATCAACAAAAATACTCGCTCACCAAACTCAACAGGATTTTGATAAAAAAGTGATATAGTTTCTATACGTTGTAAATCTTCCGGACTGAGTAGTGTCTGTTGTGGCTGAGGTGATAGAAGATAAGTAAAATCTGTGTGAAGAATATTTGTGTCTATCGATGTAAATAACTGAGAATGATACAAGAATAGATAAATGAAGTCATGTTTTTTCTTTTTTTTAAATATCCTTACATCGTCCAAAAATGTGGATGATGACAATTGAAACTCTTGTTCATTTGTTTTAGAATTTGAATTCAATGCTAAACTCCAATTTTCTTCTATTTGACGACGTTTTGATGCTTTTTGTTCATCCTAGAACTTAGTTTTATGAAAGATTTTTCATTTGTTTTATTGATACCGTAGAAAGTCCATCACGCTGCATTCCACTATTAAAACATTTGGCTAAGCGGCAGGCCATACAATTACGGCGTGTTTCTAATGTTATTTGACAATCACCTTTGTTTTTACAAGGGAAAGTATTCTAAAAAGAAAAAAAAAACATTAGCATTTCGATGATCGTTAAAACTATATAGAGAACAGATGAATTCTATATCATCTGTACTGTTATGATTTGAACTATACAATGAAAAGCAATAGATAGATTCTGTCTTTATGTTCCTATCAAAGGTGAAAACAAAATCAGTTTGTAGACAGCGTTCTCATGAGATACTTTTCAAGCATCTGTTCATTTGAGAAAAGTTTCTAGTCTGTTGATTCTCATTTTTCTATCTGTAGTTTTTTGTCTAATTTGTGAAACATAACTCCACTCGTTTTTGAGCATAGAGTCAAAATAGGTTTTTATATTTTTGAGACTAAGAAAATCTGTGAAAATGTGAA